GCTTTCCGCCCATGGCCGGCTCGGTGTCTCCCCCACTCCAGCTCGCGCCTGCCCCGGGGTTTTTCCTCCCCGAGAGGCAGTTTATACCCCCGCCCCCAATCAGCGCCCCCCCATCATCAGCCTCAATCCCCTTCCCCTGGAGCCACACCGCCCCCAGGGAACCTCTCCCCGGACCACGCGTCCCAGCCCGGAGCGCTGCCCGCACCTTGGCATGCCGCAGCTCGTCCTGCTGCAGGAGGCTCGGCTGTAGCAGCCCGGTGGACGAAGCACTTTCCGCCCCTCTGCCTTTGGCCATGGTGCCGCGAAAGTTACTGCGGAGGGTGCGAGGGAGCCAGCGAGCTTCCCAGCGTGGAGCGTGCAGGCCTGGGCGGAGCGGGAGCCAGGCAGCGGCGGGGTGAATGAATGGGCCGTTTCTATGCTGGGTTGGTTGCATTTAATTTCTCTCTCTATCACCTCCCCTTTTCCAGAGACACACCCCCTGCCCGGCCTCCCTGGCCCAGCCAACCCACGTTCCCCTTGGCCAGACCCACCTAAAACAGACTCAATGCAACGCAACCCCCCTCAAAATCTTCAGCCCCCGGCAGGTAGTCAGCGTGGGAAATTCCAGCCCAGATTGTTTGGGAAATGAGCCGCTGAGGACAGGCTCGTCTTGGAAGTGCCATAACACCAGTACAACTCTGCTTGTAGGTTGTAATATACAGACAGGCCCAGAGACTGACTCTTCTTTCATTTGCACCCCTGTCACTTCAGCCGGGGTTCTCCCAGTTTGCCCCTAAGTGAGAGGAGAAGCAGGATTTACAGCCAGCTGACATAAGAAAGGCCAGACTGGGTCAGACTAATGGTCCACATAGCCCAGTGTCCTGTCCTCTGACAGTGACCAACACCAGGTGCTTCAGAGGGAATGAACAGAACAGGGAATCATCCAGGTAGGAGAACCTAGGATGGGGGGAGGCAGTTCTGAAAACTTCCAAACTTTCTTTTTTTGGGGGGGAGGGGGTGTTTCTTTCTGATACAGAAAGCAAATGAAAATTCCTTCAGTTCTTCTAACCACGGTTGCATCTTATGGAATTGAACGTTTGGATAAATTCAGAAACTCAGACTTAATCTTAAATGGATAATTAACATTTCTAGGGAAAGGCCTCTGGGCATCTAACAAACGATATCACAACTGCAGCATGTTCCACAAAGTCAGATACCTCAATGATGAGGCCACACATGTACCTATTTATAAAGGATTGAGTACGGCACTGACTGCTAGGCAGTCCTGAGTTCTAATCCCTTCTCTACCACTGATACAGTGGGTAGCCTTGGGCATATCACTTAACTGTTCCCTTTTATCTGTACAATGGGGATATTAATACTTACCTGTCTCCAAGGGGGCTAGCTACTTTCTGAAGACAGGGCACTGCTATGAAGTGTCACATTTTAGTAAGACTCTTTGGCTTTGAATATTTTTTTTATTTGTTTTCTCTCCAGAGCAGCTCTTTCCACATTGTGCATCTGCTGTAATGGTTTGGCTCAATGGAAAGGCCCAGGTGCAATTGTTTGGGTGGGTATTAGTGATCCCAGGTGGAACAGAAGCAATGATAGTGGATTGGTTTGGAGTGGTTTAATTTATTATCAGTGATAGTTGTCTCACCTGCAGTTGCTCTGGTCAGGGCTAGGTAGGGGTTTCATGCCTGTACCAGGAAGTACTGGTGAGCCCACACCTGTAAGATGATATGACATAGGGAACAAAGACGGGTGGTTTCAGATATGCACCCGAAGAAGTGGGCTGTAGTCCACGAAAGCTTATGCTCTAATAAATTTGTTAGTCTCTAAGGTGCCACAAGTCCTCCTGTTCTTCTTTTTTAAAGATGGGTGGGAAATTTTAAGGAAAGCTTTCTCTTGGTGCTGTACTGTCTGATTCTGATGGACAATTTGCATTAGTGCAGATTCTGAGGACGATCACTCTACATGAAACTGTAGATTTTAGAGAAACCTTAAAGTCCTCAAGGATACAGAGAAGAGGCCCCTAAATTAGGGTGACCAGATGTCCTGATTTTATAGGGACAATCCTGATATTTGGGTTTTTTTCTTCTATAGGCTCCTATTACCCCCCACTCCCTGTCCCGATTTTTCACACTTGCTGTCTGGCAGGCTACCCTGAATGCTCAGAGTTTGCAGGTTCTCCCTGCCTGTAGCTTTCTCTTATCATGCAGAGTGACTTTCAAACACTGCGCATCCTGGCCAGATTGAAACCTGGGACCTAGTTAAGGATTTTCTTACCCTATTGCCAATCTGCCAGCTTTTTCCAGCCTCCAGGAGAAATGCTTTCTGGCTGTGGGAGGTAGAATAGCAACAAATAGGGAATTCCTGGAACAAGGCAGCATCTGTTGGGGCCTATCTGCTGTGCTCCCGTTCTGCTTACCTGTCTTAGCAAGTTTACTGCGTCAATGGACAACCGAGCACTGCAATCACATGTTGCATTTGAGAGCTTTTTCACATGTCAGATGAGCCAGTCCTTCTTTAAGGCCTGATGTATGATCCACCCTTTTGCACAAGCCTCCCTTCCATGACCATGGCAGAAGCACAAGGTCCGGAGAGGTTCCCAATAGACCAACAGAAGCAAAGTAAGTAACGGGCTAAAACAAGTTTCAGAGTAGCAGCCGTGTTAGTCTGTGTCAGCAAAAACAACGAGGAGTCCTTGTGGCACCTTAGAGACTAACAAATTTATTTGGGCATAAGCTTTTGTGGACTAAAGCCCACTTCATCAGGCTAAAACAAGACATGCTAGACAGTGGGTGACCTTTGCATGGGGAATAATGCAATTCTCCTTTCTGACCTTGGTGCTTAGATGTCACACGGATGGTACCTGAAAAATACCTAGGGCGAGATCCTCTGATCGGTCCAAGTGTTCTGCAATCCTCAACCCTAATGGCTGCTCCCTCTTCCTCCCAGGTGAGCTTGGAATGGATTAATCCCATTTTGCGGGGGAGTCAAATGAGGCATTAAGTGACTTTCACATGGAATCCGTGTGGCAGAATCAGCAATAGAACCTAGCAGTTCCTGACTCCCAGTCTATCCCCTTCTCTAACCACCAGACCCCACGCCTCCTCCCACAAACTGGGAATAGAACCCTGGAGTCCTGGATTCTAGTCCCCTTCTCTAACCTCCAGCCAACACACTCACACTAGATCTCACAAAGGCATTGACTATGTCTACATGGGTTTCTTTTTTACTTGGAGGAATCCTAGTGTCATAAACTAGGGATTTTAAGCATTAACTCCTTTAGGAAATATTTCCCCTGAAATACCCATGACCTCTGGTTTCCGCTTCTTTCCTACTCAGTGAGGCTGCAGCCCGATTGTACGTAGGAATTTGGAGAACCATTTCTGGGAAAGGGGGAGAACGTGACTTTGTAACATCCCCGGGCATTACTGCTCTGCCACCGCTGATCACATTCCGTGCTCTGAGCACCTGTCAGGGGTTAGCAGGTGGCTCCTGGGAGGTTCATCTTTCTGTCTTTTAGCTCTACAAAGCTAGAATTTCCACTTGACGTCAGCCAAGGACTGTGCGTTCCTCCCCGGCAGTTCTATTGAATTTTTGCTAATTGCAAGACCTGACCGGAATATTCTACCAGAAAACATGGACAGTTTCCTCAAAAAGCCTGTTAGTTTCACTTGCAATTCTCCTTTTAACTGCAGTGAAGTCTAGATTTTTGTGCCAAATGCTTCTTTTATTGTGGGCGTCGTGCATAAGTGGGATTCTTTTGGGGGGAGGTGATGGGAGAAGGAGAGACAGGGCAGGAATGGGACAGGTTCTGAACATACTTGAGTTCAAATTCTTTATTCTCTGCTATGAAATGCTCCTGCTACTTCCTGGTTCAGAACACATCGCCCTGTGACAGCCATGAATGACAATGAGATTTCACAAAAAGAAGAACAGGAGTACTTGTGGCACCTTAGAGACTAACAAATTTATTAGAGCATAAGCTTTCGTGGACTACAGCCCACTTCTTCGGATGCATATAGAATGGAACATATATTGAGGAGCAATAATAATGAGATTTCAGTTACCCGGGACGTCGCAGGATGGCGTGGGCTGGGTTCTATTTAGCAATCTAGAAATGCCAGCCCATTTCAGAGGGAAGTGAAAATGGCTGTAATAATAATACCTAGCTTTTTATAAAGCACTTTTCCTCAGTAGATCTTACAAAGGCGATATCATTATCTGTATTTTACATATGGGGAAACTGAGGCACAGAGCTGCAATGAGTTGCCTAAGGTCACCCAGCAGGCCAGTGGCAGAGCCAAGAATAAAATCTAGGTCTCCTGAATCCCAGTCCAGTGCTTTACCCAGTAGGCCACACTGCCTGAAACCTGTTTTTATGCCGATTTCCCTGCAGACCCTGGGCAGTGGGGGCATTTGGTACGTATAGCTGAGTTTAACCTCATTTCCGCTCATCTCGAAGGGCTGGTCTGCAGGCAGATGCTTTCACATGGCTTCGGCTGATGTCCCACAGTGTGGAAATGTCCTCCTATGGGCTGGGTGGGTCATGACAGCCTAGGCCGCAGTGAGATCAAACCTCATGGAAATATTGCCTTCTTCATTTGTTGGTACCGTGTGCGTCCATCTGTCCTAATTCAGGAAACATAACCAGCCCAAACTTCTGCCCATACCCTGAACTGAAGCCAGGAAAACCTGAAATGTTTACAATGTTCAGATTAGTTTGAAGAAAGACTCTCTTCTCCCTGACTTTTCACGGGGCTCTGACCCTTCCCCCTAGACCTGTTCAGCAAGCTTCTGGCTTTCCCTGGACCCTCTCATGCCCTTCCCAGCATAAGACACCTCCTCCTCATCCCCCCAGTGAGCCTCATGTTCCTTCAAGCCTACTTTCAGGTGAAGATCCCACCTCTAGTGGCCTCTGAAGGATGCAGTGCACATAGGGATTCACAAAGCTTCAGTTCTGGGCTAGCTGGGAGTCTGCCAGAACTACCATGCCCTGCAGCGAGCTAATTAAAGGTAGGAGTGGCCTGTGTGGAAGGGAAGGAAAGATCTATGGGCCTGTTGGTAGGTTGTGCATTGGGAAGAGCTGGGCCTTATTTGCGGGATGGGAAGGAAACTGAAGGCATAGTGGAGGATCACACCTGAGGAGGGGTCAGGGGGGTCTGGTAGAGAAGGAAAGGAAAGGGGCCCAGGTGCTTAATGAGGAATAAGGGTCGAACTTTAGAGCCACAGCCAAACTTTTGTCCACTAAGCTTACTGGAGCCAACACAAGTCTGGTGAGCATCACCCTTTGTCACTAGTTCACACAGCAGGTCATGAGGCTTAGCGTCACCAATCATATCTAGGAGTCATCAGCTTCATTCCTGTTGCTGAGGCGCCAAAGTAAATATGCTAGAACGGAAATCACTGTGACAGGCGCCCAGTGATAAGAGCAAAGAAAACCTGTTCACTCCCTCGGGCTGAGATCTGGTCACGTTGGATTGGGATCTTCCTCAGATCCTACAGCAAGCAGCTCCCAAACTCACTCAGCTGTCCTGCTGCAGCAGGGGCCCTCAAAGCTTCAACTGGAGATTCTGGTGTGTTTAGAAAATAGCCCTTTTATAGTCCACAAGAAGGTCCAAGGTTTGCCTCAGTGACAGAAGAAGAAGATGGTGACCCTCATCATGCAGTCTGTAACAAAGAGACGTGCTCCCTCTAGCTTCCAGTTCTTCCTCCTTCTCAGCACCCTTCCTCTAGACTCGCATCCCCTGTCCCTACAGGCAATCAACGGCCAAAGAGACTCATCAGCACACCTGATGGGAACACCTGCCCACCCAGCCATTGCTGGCGTTTGGCCATTGACATCCGTAGCACCAGGATCAAACTTCCTTTCAGCAAAATGTAAGGGGGGGGGGAGGGGAGTTTTTTACACCCATCCCCTGCTCCTTTCCAGGGTCCTAACAACTTGCTGCTCTCCGTGCTGTCGTCACGTATTGTTGCGGCTGAACTGGGCCTTTTTTAGCACAGCGGCTGTAGCTCTGCCCCGGCATTCCAGCGCGGATACAGTTTCTGAGTTGTGAGAACTCAGCTGATAGAAAGCATGCAGCTGGGAAGAAAACTCCACTCCCCCCCCCACGCCCCGGGCACACATGGTGCTTTTGTTTCAATGAGGCTCAAGGATTTATTTTTCAAGTCAACTGGGGATTACGTCCCCTCTTTTATCATGGTGATTTCCCAGGGTTTAAACCCAGCTGGGCTCGGTTTCCATGCTGATCTCATTTCCAATGGACTGACTGACCAGCGAGGGTGCCCGTGTGTCCAGGGGGCCCTCTGAAGTAGGCCGGGGGGAAATCCCCAGCTTGTTGGATGTTCCAGGAGGGTAGAGGATGGTAGAATTCCTGTGCTTGTGAAAGGCACCAGTGGCAGTCCTGCCTTAGAACCCGTGTCTGCGCTGTGATGGCTGCCAGCAGACCCTGGTCCATGGGGGATCCAAGTGGGCCCATCACATTGCAGGATCAGGGCCTTAGACTGTAATCTCAGCAGGGCAGGCGCTGCATCTTCCCTTGTGCGTGTACAGAGTCTCGTATAATGGGTCCCTGTTCTGGTCTAGGGCTCTGGGTGCTACTGTAGTAGAAATGACGTAATATTAATACTGACTGTGCCAGATTGGTTGACGTCTCCATTTCATCCCTAG